CTTCCTTTAAAAAACAACCAGAAAATAATAAAACAAAAAGGGCAGTTCTAAAAATCATAGCACACTGGAAATATTTCAAAGTGCTACATTAAAAATAGATACAGGCAAAAAAAATTATATCTTTGGGGTTCTTATTTGGTTGGGTTTTCGGGGTTTTTTTAGGCTTGGGGAGGTGGTTTTGTTGGGGGTTTTTTTGGTTTTTCTTTTCATCATTTCCTGTTTGGTCTTTCTGCAGTATCCTGACAATTTTTTTAGGATTTAGGACTAAAACAAAAGACTTCCACTTCATAGAGAAGTCTGTCTTAAACTGTTTCTTCAGTGTCAGGTCAATAGAGTTGGTATTAAAACTGGAAAAATCAGTTGTATGTTTTTACAAAAACAATCATATAAGATGTTATAAAATAGATTGTTATTTTGAACAGCTTGATCCTTATGACTATGAAACTATTGAAATTGTCCTGAAAGTGATACAAAATGCTGATGAAAAGAACACCAGTATCCAGCTGAATCAGGTACGTCCAAATATGTTGCTGTTACCTTGCTAATGGCATCTGTATTGTTTTGTCTATTTATTAGTGTAGTTATTCAAAGGTCTGCTGAAATTAACTGAATGATTCTATCCACACTGGTCTCATTCAGAAAATAGCATTCAACGAATAGTGATCTCTAGGCTGTTTCTTAGCAGTGCCCCGTAGCAGGGGTAAAAACTCTATAGAGAGATGTACCAACTCTTCCAAAAATACATAGGTCTTCAGGACTTAGGCATGTTTACTGGGGGAGCAGGGAGAAATATAGTCATCTTGGGGCTTTTTTCCTTACTTTTTGCTTTTCTTATTTTTCTTTTTTTTTTTCCCCCCATAGGCTTTGAGCCTCCTCAAACATCTGGAATCTTATAAAAGAATTTCTCCACCTGTAGACCTAGAACACCAATATGTTTTAGAACATGTGATTCCCTTATCTCCAGCTGCTCAAACCAGACTGCCTTTTCATCTGATATTCTTCAGAACTGCACAATGTTTCTGGAACATTATATGTAGGTTCAGTATTTTTTATGGCTAGATATATGTATGATTCCATTTCTCTGCTGTCTGTGAACTTTAAAGTTCTATAGTATGTACTTTATATTAATTGTATTTCTTTATTAATGCAGTTTTCATCCCAAGTACTTCTGAAAGCACCTCCCAAATTGCTCCCAAATTGCTACTGGTGAGGTAATTGGCTTTCAATGGAGCTATGACAATATATACAATGCAGAATTCTGTCCTCAAATTCTTTTCTTAGAACCTCTCAAAGAGCAAACTAATCCACGTATCCCACTTCCCAGGCCAGCATGGATAATTAAAATTATATTCTTTCTCTCCCAATGGAGGACTGCATCTAACAGTAAACTGGAAGTGCTTAATTTCATAGAGAAAGCTGCAAGTGGACTGTGATACCATCCTAGACAGCTCTCTTTTTCCTTTCAGCTGCAGAGCTCAGTGAGGAATCCTTTCCAACACTTCTGTTGATTTCCAAACTAATGAAGGTAAAGTAGCATCTTGAAAGGATTTATTTCAAAATTATTCTTTTTCCCACACACAAAAAAGAGCTTTCGTCTTTCTTTTGCATGATTTTGGACTCACTATAGAACTTCTGACAACTCAATCTACTTTAATGTTTTTCTAGGTTTCACTGGATACCTTACACATGTCTGCAGCTCGACATGTCTTTGAAAAAAGATTGAAACCAAAAATATTTGAAATGAGAAACACTGGATATACATCAGTTGTTAACAAGGAAACAACTAAAACTGTGCAGACGATTCAGTCGTATCTGCTGTCAATAATTAATCCAGAGTGGGCTGTAGCTATTGCTCACAAGATTGCACAAGAATTTCCAACAGGTAAGGTGTGTATGTGATGACTTGAGGGGTGAAGTAATGGGACGAGGAGAACAGAAAAGACAAGAAGGAGAAAAGAAAAGCTAGCCTGTAACCAAACATTTTATCAGTATTCTTGGATAAAACCCAGGGAAGTTTGAGAATAAAACTTCGTCTCCTACATCTAATTTTGAACAGTAGGCTAGAACAACAGTCATTTTATAACACAGCATCACTATTAAATCCTTTTTTTTT